CTGATGGTGGAACATCTTTCTACATCTGATGAGCAGAGCAGAGAGGAAAAACATTTTTTTCCAGTGTTGTTAACATCTGTGTACACTTGGAGGAATGTTGTTACGATTTGTGCGATTCTGATAAACAATCAAAGAATTGCAACTTTCTGTTTTTGTTTTTGGCTGATTTTTTTCATGTTATCTCAGCAGCAGACATCTCTGAGTTGTCTCTCCGTCATTCTGGTTCCACGGAGCTGCAGGACTTTAGATTGTAAAGAAAAATGAAGCTACAGTGAAGAAACATGTGAGAGGAACAAGAGAAATGCAAGAGTTCTTAAATGCACAATTTCCTATTAAAATTGCTATTTGTCAGGTTTTGTGCATGTTTTCTCCTGGTGTCCATAAATAAGCCTTCTGTATACATTAGTTCACAAAATGCAGAAACATTCAAGGAATTCTTAAGATATTTTTCCAACCATTGCTCCCATCACTGACCAATCTGACGTATATCTGCTCCGCCTGTTGTTGTTTGAACTCACAGCAAACAGCGAGCCTTTGCTTTGTATGCAGACGATGCTGTTTTGTTCTCCGTCAGATCTCAGCGGTCCGTCAGGAGTCTGTCACAGAAGCACAGAGTGAACCGGTCGCACTCTGAGGCCTCTGTCCTCCCCGAACCTTCATCTCCACAGACAGCGGCCTGATTGGGCCGGTGAGTCGTTTGGCTTCGCTCCTCTTTGTCTTCGCCAGAGTCAATCCTGCGGCTGCTATCTGCTGAATGTCAAAGGCCTAATTGTCTCTAAAGCAGACGCTGCCAGCACCGATGCCAGCCGCTGCGCCGGTTCATTCTGCGAAGCCGTGTGATGCCTGGACTCTCCAGGTGTCTCCCCGAAGCGCTGCCAGCTTCTCGACAACCAGGGGGCTGTTGGCAGTCCGAAGGAAACGCTCGGATCTGTTCTTTATTGTCAGGATCTCGAACCCCCTCGCGGTACCGTCGGTCCGATGGCTGGCAGGAAGGACGGAGCTGGCACAGGGGCCACGGCATGCCACGGCGGGACTGGAGCCAGGCTTAGCGCCCGGCAGTAACTCTTGGAGAGATTTTTGAGGTTTTGAATAAACGGGGACGGCTGCCAAGATGACCTGAGTGGCCCGAAGGAACAGACAGCGGCGGCAGGGTGCATGTCAACAAGCTCTGGGATTGTTTCGGGTCCGGTGGCAGGACAGCATTCAGCTCCGGAGCTGTTTCCACGAAGCTCCTCAGAACACAAGAGAAGCAATCTTCCACTGAATCACTCAGCTGGAGCGGTTTTGTTCCAGGAACGTTCTGAGAAAGTTCTGGTGGTGTTTTCAGTTTCTGTTTAGTTCCCAGAATGCTACTTTTTTAAATGATGTTCTGTGGAAACTTTGTGCCCTGATGTTCTTGAAACGCTTTCCAGATGTTTGTTGTCATGAAACGTTGTGAAAAGGTTTAATAGAATGTTTGTTACATTGTTGGAACGTTTTCTAAAGACGGTTCTGTCACTGAGGCTTTAAGAACATCGGAAGAACATTTTTTAAACGCTGCATTGAGAACATTCTTCCTCTGTAGCTGCGGAACATTGAGAAAGTTCTGTTTTGTTCATATATCACATTACTGGAACGTTTTCTCAAGGAAGTTCTGTCACCAAGGCCATAAGAACATTTGAAGAACATTGTTTGGTAATGTTGCAATCGGAAAGTTCTTTCTCTGTTATCGCAGAACATTGTGGGAACATTTTATAGAAAAATCTTGTCTAATGTTAAATTTCCTCAAATCATCCTTAGAACATTGCAGGCAAATGTTCCACCTTTAGCATTACAGGAATGTTTTATAAAAATGTCATTTGAGGCCTCGAGAACATGTGGGGAACATTTTCTGAATGTTGCATTGAGAACATTCTTCCTCTGTGATCATGGAACATGGAGAAAGTTCTGCTTTGTTCAGAAAAAGTTCTATTTTCTTCATTTATTGCACCGCTGGAGTGTTTTCTAAAGGAAGTTCTGTCATCTGAGGCCTCGAGAACATTTGGAGAATGTTTTTTTTAAATGTTGCATTGAGATCATTCTTCCTTTGTTATCGCAGAACATTGTGGGAACGCTTTACAAAAGAACTGAAGGCGAATTGTTTCGTTAATATGTCACATTACTGGAATGTTTTCCAAAAAAAAAAAAAAAAGGTTCTGTCATTTCAGGCCTCGAAAACATCTGCAGAACGTTTTTTTAATGTTCCTCGTAACTGCGGGACATTTTGGGAACGTTTTGCAAATGAATTGCAGGTTAGCTGATTTGTTGACCACATTACTGGAACATTTTCAGAGAAAGTTTTGTCGTCTGAGGCCTCGACTTCGGACATCTGGAGAACACGTGAATGTTCAATTGAGAACGTTCTTTGTCTGTGATTGCAAAACATTGTGAATGTGGTGTGATGTATTTCCCCAAAACATCCTCAGAACATTGTAGGTAAACGATTCCACCTTTATTAATTAAGTTCACTTATCAAAATCACTTTATTCCACATGTGTTCAGGAGTTTTGGGCTGAACTGCAGGCCGTGTAGCGTTTACTGAGCAGAGAGGAGACGAGCGTAGAAACCAACTGAAATGTTAGTTGTGAATTATCTGTAGTATGGAGAGTCACCATGTTCTCCCTCAGCATGAGGAGCACCACGAGGAAAAATGTTTAACACATTGATTCATAAATAATCAAAGAAACTCAACTTTTTTTTCTTTTTTTATATTTGCAATTTATGTCATTAGAATTGTGTCACACTACACAGAATATAATTTGAGTTCTCTTTACTACTCGAGCGATGATTTTGCTGTTTCCATTGAGGTCCAGAACTTTATGCTGCAGACAAAAATGAAATCAATTGTTCTAAAAAAAAATAAAAATAAAATCTGTGTTTATGTCATTGTTTTCGAAGCATGTCAAAATATGTTCATGCTGGAAGTGGATCCCTTTTCTCATTTTGCTCTGACTTGGAAGTGCAGAATTATTTATCCTGAAATGAACATCTTTTCGACTTTATCCGGAGTCCCTGAACGCGGCATGTGTAATGATAAGATTAATAAAGCTACTGGCGTGAAGTTTGAAATGTTACATACAGGCACTTCCGGAGAATTTTGAAAAATAAAAACAGCCAAAATGATGAACTTTGCCAGAAATCTCAAGAAATATTGAATTAACGTGATACTGGATTACATGTAGATAAAAGGGTACATGTTTTGAAATTGTTATGCTACATGCAAATTCGTCCATCTCAGGTATTCTTAGCTAAAACGTCTTTTCATGGGTTAAGTATATGCTTTTATTTTTAAGGGCAGATCGCGCAGTTTTCGCTTATGTGCTGTTGCTTCTCGTCAGCTTGACGCAGCGGGGGAGTCCAATGGAAGCCTTCGTCGCAGCCCGGAGGAGACAATCGAGAGCGATTTAGCCTGAAAAACGGAGTCCGTTTCTCCAGAAGCGGTTCTAAACCGAGTCTTTTCTCCGCAGTCTGGATCCGCGGTTCTCTCCGCTGCGTGTTTGCGTCTCTGATTGGCCGTGAACGGCGGCTGCTCGGCCTTGTTTATACTGTGCAGGGCAGCTTGAATCAGGGAAGCAGGCCCGGTCCTGTTAACGAGTTTAACGACCGTTTCGGGTCCGGAGTGTATTTCGTGTGGATCGGCCCTTTAGCTCACCAAGTAAGTGGGGATACCGACGACAGTCGGGGGTCGGTTTGGCGGCAGAAAGCGCTCCGTGCGCGGATGTTTTGGTTGTGGCGCGACGCGATGTCAGGTTGTAGTTATTGTTAGCCGTTAGCATCCCGCTAGCTAGCAGTTCGCTGGAGTGACGGCTGCTGTCTCCCTGTGTTGAGCTTCGTGCTAATGCTAACGGCTTAAACTGGAGTTAAGATACGCAACGCACATTTTAGAAACACAAACACACGCATTTACTGCCCGGTTTCTGCCACCTCCACCGTAGTATTTAGCCGTATTTCCATTAATTACTCCGTTAGCATCCTATCACTGCTGATAGCATCAACTTAGCACCTTTAGCACGCCGTCAAGCTAAGCTAGGTTAGCCTTGTTTTGTCAAACCAGCTGGCTGAGAAGTCCTCAAGCTGTTAGCTGCTAATTCTACCAAGCTACAAGGTCTTAATACAAACAGATTGCCTTAAAAATGATCGTCCAGTTTGCTTGTGGTCGAATACATTAAGAGGGCGATCGTTTGTGAAGTAATATGCAAATAAATCAGTGATTCCTTATAAACTGAGTTATCTAATCACTGGTTTCGTTTGCAAACCTATAAATAAATGCATTGCTGTTGAGGTGAACTGCAGAAACATGGAGAATCACATCCATGATGATGATGATGATGATGATGATGATAATCAGAGGTGTTGCTGAGATCTGGGAACACTGGGGACGAAACAATGGAAACCTTTAGATGTTAATCTGATAATTGCACCATTTCTGAGCTGTTTCAGAGTAAAATCAGTATAAAATGTGTGATGCTGTGCAAAGTAAGATCACATTATCATATCGATGAGTGCAGGGGAGCGACAGCAGTGCTGCCCAACATGTGTGCCTTGGAATTAGTCTTATTTATAATATTAAAGGTGTGCCCTGACAATAAGCTCGTTAATAAATTTAATTGACTAGTAATTTGGCTGACCGACCTTTTAAATAGTCCAGGACAACAGATGATGAAAGACACTTCGTCCATGACGTCTTATAACACATCACTACAATTAAATGACTAATAACAACAATCAGGCCAATTGTGCTTTCTGTGTTACTGATTTAAAATAATGTGTCCATAGCGTGATGATAGCTCATCTAACTGCAGCAGCTGACTGTGTTTTGTGATACTCGGCTGCTTGTTATATTTTATTTAATGATCAGAGAGCTTCTATATTTAGTCGAGGAGAAGCATCCGGACACAGAAATGTTTTTACTTGGTAAACAGACTTTCGCGAGCAGTAAAATAATAATCCTTTGTTTTGAATCAACTGTGTTATATTATGTTTCAAGGGCTTCAGCACAATCAGAATGACAGATGAATAGATCCGGAGCCTTTTAGTCCCGTAGCTTTTGCAACAACAAAGAAAAGTCGATAACTTTATTTATATGGCAGCTTTAAAGACGAGGGTTTACAGACAACACAAAAGCAGCACAACAGCATAAAAATGTAATATGTCGCTATGAACAGATACGAATCAAATATTAAAAGCAATAAAAAGATGACATCACTTCAAAGCAAGTTGTACAAATGGGTTGTAAGACGTGTCTCCTCAGGCTGGTAGCTCCTGCTGGCGAGTCACCTTTAGGGCCGAGTCTCCATTTTGGAACAGTCTGAAGGTCCACACCTGAGGAGGGCCTCACCTGAGAACCTATAGCTGCCATTTGGCTCGTATGGCATCAAAGTTCAGCTGCGTAGCTCGAAGCCAAACCCAGTAATGATCAGTAAAATCTGAAACTCAATTTAAAAAGAACAGGGAGCCAGAAGTGATGTGATATCGTCTGTTCCAACCAGAGAGACTGTGGAGGCGACAGAGACGCTTTGGTTTATGCCGGAAAGAACGCAGCTACAGCAGCCGAGTCTTGAGAGAATAGATGTTTTCTAGCAGGCAGTAATTTAATTCTGGAGGAGCATGTCCATGTCGGGCTTGTTAACAGCTCTTTTTAAGATCTGCTCTTCTTTCTCCTCTTTTTTTTTTTTCCCTTTAGAGAATATGACCCAGATGCAACAATGACATCCAGATTTGGTAAAACCTACAGCCGCAAGGGAGGGGAGGGCACGTCCAAGTTCGACGAGGTTCTGTCCACCAAGAGAGGCACCCTCAGCACCAAATGGGGCGACACCACCTACAAGGCCAAGGTGGGCTCCAAGCGCGCCGGCGCCCCCAAGAATGACTCTGTCCTGGAGGTTTACAAGAGGCCTCGTCCGTGCGGAGACGGCCTGGAAGATCCGTTTGGGTTCGACAGCGACGAGGAATCTAAACCCGTGTCGTCCCGCGGCGGCAGCAAGTCGTCGCCCGCCAAGCCGGCCTCGGCAGAGCCTCCACAGGCGCAAAGACCGGACGCTTCTCTGCACACGGGCAGCAGGTCCAGCTTCCAGGGAGCGTCCCACACTTCAGCGTCCGCTCGAGGGGCGTTGTGGCCGGGCGGGGACAAGAGCCAGCCCAGGATGGTGGAGGACACGGCTCGGTTCTTCAACAGCAGTGCTAGCATCGGTAAGACAGAGTTTAGAGACTGCAGAAGTGCATCTTTATTTCTTCATTAGTGCCTTTATTAGTCAGAGGTTACCAGAGTCCAAAGCGGTGACCTCCGCAGCACGACTAATTTAACCTGAACACCCTGCACAAAGCAAGTCTAACTAAAGCCAACTAAGCTTCCCGACTAGTCGCTTCGTGCTTGTTCCTTCAGCCTATTTTTCTGGGCCTTCAGTTTTACACGTCATTTTCAGGCCAAACTCAGAGGAATCAGTGCCCTTGCTTCTCCTGCGGCTCGCTGTCAGTGTCGCTGCTTTCAGCCCGACTTGTCCTCAGCTTTCCGTGACTGCTGCTGGCCACCTGCCAGGGACGAGAGCCACTCCAAGTGACTCGGAGCAGAAAGCCGTGACCCGGCGAGTGACATTTCCACAGCGTCGCCGCTGCATGCGAGTTAAAGCGAAGCACTTGCAGCAGCAGCAGCAGCAGCAGCCGTGTTATCTGCTTACTAAGGCTGGCGGTGTTGACTCAGTAAATATGATAAAATCCTTGACCAAACAGCTCTTTTGATAAAGTGTGCCAGTGCTGCCGAGCTGACTGATGCTACTTTCAGACCAGTATTTATATTTTCAAGAAGACTGAGGCACAAAGTTCGTTTTGCTGAGCTGGGACGCAAAATGTCTCGGCTGTAAATTAGGAAAGCAAATTTGAAATGTTGAGCTGCTTGTATTGTGATTATATATCCTGAAAGTGTGTTGTTGTGACAGCAGCTCAGAAATGTAAATCCAGCAGCTCGTTACCGAACTTTATCAGTCCTCATCGAGCAACAGCCCATGAGGATAAACCACATTATGGAGCAGTACGTACAATTTGCAGGCTCATCAGACGAGTACTGCTTTGATTAACATGAATTTGTGTTTCAGAAGGTAAAAGCTTCGCACTTAATGTGATCAAAAGTATATTTAAATCCATGTTCTGGGTGAACCGGCGTCCTGAGTGAAGGAATCCCTCAGGATTGGGACTGAGGCCAGTCCAGGTATTTCTCTGCTGATCGGCTAAAGCCTGATCTCTTTCCAATACGTGGTCGGATTGCTGCACGAGTGGCAGCTGTGAAACCCGCCTCACTGTCCTCTCGGCCACTTTTTAAGGGACGGTGCTGTGAGTGAACGACAGAAGCCGGCAGTTTGAGTTGATGATATGTCCGGATATGACAGAAATCCACTTGAGCAGCTGCTTCTCCGTTGTTTCAGTGACATTTCTCTGCTTCTGGTGTCACGGAGCCTTTAATATTTCATTCCCAATCCGTCCACAGCGTCCCAGTCACAAACTGGCCCGTCTAGATCCAGAGTAGGAAACCACTCCATCAGTAATGACCAAATAATGGGCTGTTTTGTGTTTTTAATGCAGTGTAATTGAGCAGTTGAACAAACTGACTCATTTAGGTAAACTGTGCAGCACCGGGGTGTCTCCGATTGAACTTTTCTGTTCTTTAAAATGCAATATACTTTCTAACTATGGCGGCACACCCCATTTCCAGTTCAGTTCATCACACTGAGACGCTACGCCCAGTCATTTAGAGGCTGCTCCATCGCCAGCAGCTTTTTATTTGAAACATGTGTTACGAACGAGACTTCTGGCTCAGGTCATCCATAGTGGCCGTTTATCGTCATATGTATCGGCCCCAATAAAGATTATAAGTTAATCCCCCCTCCCTTTTTCCCCCAACATCTGTTGGGAAGAAACCCATTCTTGAGGATCCTGTTGGGAAAGTTTCTCTGAGATGCCAGGAGTCAGAAAAGAGCCTTTTTCTGCTACAATATGAAAGCTAGCATCTGTTCGTTACAAACTCTCTCCTGTTGGGCTCTGAAGCTTTGAAGTGTTTTCTGTCACTGTTTCAGACTCTTCTGAGCTCATCCACTGTGTTTGCATTGAGAATCCCGGTTATGATCAGGTTTTTTGCGTCAGTGCGTGTAAACATCGTGTACCAATTTAAGAAACCAGTTTTGAGAATCATGAGCAGGCTAGCTGCAGTACTCTGAACGATGCCTGGACTGTTGCATGTCTACATCTTAACCTGAATTCAGAAATATGCATAAACCTTTATTCCAGTTTTGGGGACGTACATTACGCTAACGCTGTAGACGCTTTCACCTGCGACAGATCTGTTCCTCCTGCTGCTGTTTCTTCTCGCATGCTGCTCTGCTCATAAGCACATTTTCTTGTGGTTACTCAGCTCCATCATGATGCCTTTATCCCACCAGTTACAGCTGCGTATGTTCATCCACCGCTCACTAACCTGACGTCCGCTAAAATTAGGACAATCAACGTTTTGTGTAATTTAAGTGTCCCGCTGCTGGAAAAAAAAGATGGACGGGCCAAATCTGCAACGCGTACCGAGCCTCGTCAGTCTCAGGTGCAGGAATGTAAAAAAATTAAATTTCCAGTTCAGTCGTAAACATCGTCGGTATCCAAATCCTGTATTTCTCATCTATACGAGGATGTGAATAACCAGATTTTCATATAAATGCCACATCCCGAAATGATCAAACCAAGACGAGCCTCATCGCTGGGATTCTGGTGGTGCATGTAAACACAATCTGCCACCATCGTTGACTGTTTGGCAGGTTTTCTGGGAGTGTTGTGAACTCGTTTTCAGCCGTCCTCGGTTTGTTTCATCCTCGGCTAAACTGTGCAAACCAAACACTCGACTGGCTGACTGAGTCCTTCGACCTTTGCAGCATTTGGTGCTTGTGGGTGTTTGTACCTGGTTCGATACTGACTTTTTTTCTTTCTTTTTTTTTTGCTGTGCAGTTTTCTGCAAACTCATGAGACAGTCTGACACCCACACGAGCTGAGACACATAACCGACACCGAGCCCCATCTGGCGCACGAAGCCAACCAGCCAAACTCTCATCTTTGCACGTTGCCGAGGTGTCACCTCTCCAGACTCTGTTATTTTTATCTGCCCGTTTGAAGGAAAAATTGAAGCCACACGGGGTGAAGTCCTCGATTTGAGTTATCAAACGGCTTCTAAAGCTGCAGAACCAAAGAAAATCGACTGAAATCGCGGCCACTCTTTTTAACCAATCGATTGGTTGCGGGGAAAACAATCTGTAGATGAACTAAATGTGCCACAGTGCTCTGACTGCTACTAGCCATGGTAGCCTACATGAGGTATAAACAAACATAAAAACGCTATTTTTGCAGTATATTAAATCAGTTATATGTGGTTATTTTATACTGAAATGATTGTGATAATGTGATTTCTGGAAATATACCAACTGGTAATCCAGGACAGGAACTATTGGGGAATAAAACACAGACGAGTTAGCTGCTGCTTTTACAGGATGTTGGTTGTTGATACACAAAATGCTGTTTGCAAAGTTTACACTCGACCCTTTGGCACAAAATGCAGCCACACTGACGACTTCTTTGACATGGTTGGACTCCGAGTGAACATTCAGTAAATACACATGAGGTGGATCTAGCAGCCGCCGTTGAATTGGGCCAGTTCAAAGTTGTGAAAACTCGGGGGTGTTCACGAGTAGTGTGCACCTCCTGCCACCAAGATAATGGATTAACCCTGTAAGGAAGTTGATGTAGAGCTTTTCTCCTTATGACTGTCACGTTGGTGATAGCACAGCCAACGAGAATCTGGTCAGACGAGAGCGTATCGACCAACCGATCGACACCGCAGCCCTTATAGCTTCAGATCAATACTTTGTGAGCAGCCTTGCTAATTTCCTCACATCCTGCAGAACGTCCGGTGTGTCATACAGGCCGGCCGCCGCCGCTGCTCTGCCATCTGCCGAGGAACAACTGAAACTGTTAATCACCGGCGGCACATTTTGCAATCGTAGCAATGATGTGGCGCAAACAAAACAAAACCCCCTTTTTTTTTTTTAAAACTCAAAACAAGAGCTTATGTGGATTTCTGTAATCGGGGCGTGAGGGTTGCATGTGCACACTGAAACGGGATTAACAGCAGATACTCCAAAGGCCTCGAACCTCTTCTGAGGAGACGCTTGTGGCTGTCGGGGCTTGACAGATGAATCAGTCGAGCTAAACTTCTTCTCGAGTCCTGAAGTGCACTTGATGAGGACTCGCTAATTTAGTAGTTTTGCTCAAAACCTGATGGACACTGAGATGAAAGCAGAGTTTTAGAAGTTTTTCTGTTTGCTTTTTTACATTATTGCGTCGCTGTCGGCCTTCAGCTACGACACGTTTCTACACCGATTGGCCCTAACTCGCTCTTCAAGTGTTTTATCTGTTGTGAGTTTTTATTTTTCATTTGTCAAATAAGGTCTGAGTCGGGTGGCGAAGTAGTGAAGTGGCCTACTTTCCAGTTGTGCCACCCTTACGCTCTGACAACACAGCCTTCAAATAAAAACCACAGCTCCCGTTTAGAGGAAGAGCAGATATTCTTTGATGATACGCTGTGAAGCAATTTCTTTTTTCTTTTTTTTTTTTCCTGTCTCTGCCGCCCGTTTGTTATCTGCAGAGGCAGTAATGACCAGAGGGGTGCTAATAACCAAAGTGTTGTCCTGGCAAGTGGCTCCAGAGCCGTCGGATTTTCTCCAAGAATTACGGCGACGGGCAAATGAGTGTTTTGATATGAAACTTGGCTGTTGTTCCAGCTGTGCCTGTTGACTGTGTGTGTGTGTGTGTGTGACCTGCTTCTGAGTGTGTGAAGGTGCTTTTCGAAATGGTGCAATCATTTGGTGCGCCGTCTTTCTGCTGAGACGTCTGTAGAGGCTGGCGACGAGCCGCGTTGTGGGCACGGTGCTGTTTCAGTGATGCACCAGGTGGTGTTCTGCAGGTTGCACGTCGCCACTATTTGCTGTGAATCTATTCTGTTGATTTATGAAAGTAAGATTTGGTTGTTTTTTTGTTTTGCCCCGGAGAGAAAGTCTTAGTGGAGACCTTGTAAACTATATAAATATGGTTTTGTAATGAATTGACAAGCACCCACGAGAATTCTCCACAACAACTTGCAGTCAGATTCACAATATGCAGAACATTACACGACAAATGTCGCCGCAAATGAGAGGATGTTCTGCTTTGTGTCATCGTTAAATAACTTTTGTTTTGAGCAGTGTTGCTTGGTTGGGAGTTTTCACAAATACTTGGATATTTCATTCACCGAACAAGTGATTTAAGCCAAAAAGACAAACACATGAAATTCTGAAAATAATCTTTAGCTCCAGTCAGTGTTTTAGTAATTAACTGAATATTATTCATGGTTCTTGCGACCTGTTTGTGCAAATGTGAGCTCTGCTCGTATTTCCGCACACAGAAAACAGTCCACGTAGATAAAATCACCTGGTTTCACCTCAGAATGCTTTGGTTCACTCTTATCAAAGTCGTTTTTGTCACACACCTGCTGAGTGGAGACCAGAGGCTTCTCTGTGCACGGCTACCGAGCTAGCGGCTAGCGTAGCCTGCATGTGAGATGTTTAGGGAACATCAGTAAATTATAGTGTCCACTGATTAGCAAATTCAGGGACGTGAGGAGTGTTGGATGCAATTTTAATTTTAATTGACCTCTAGAAAATGTTCTGAATTAAGGCAGAACTCCACTGAATCAACTAAACGATTGTGATCTCAACAGCTGGGCAGTTCTACCGTTATGTGTGTTTTGTTTTTGAGTCCTGTCTTTATGTTTTCATGCTAATTAACCAGAACTAGGATCTTAAAGAGGAACTACAACTACTTTGTACATGACAGGTGGTTGTGGCTACAGGTACAGCTAACCAACCGTGGTCACACTCAGCTATGATGTTGGGCTGGATCAGAATCATGACGTGATGGGGGTTTAAAACGATAGTTTATCAGTGCTGCACCGTTATTTCATCCAGGATTTAATGTGAATTTTCTCTTCAAAAAGCTGAACTCTGTCAGTTGGTGTTATTTTGCAGAACTGAGTTTGTTTTCTTTTTTTTTAGGGAAGTCTAAGCAGAGCTTGTCTTCGTTGGAGAACCAGCACAGCTACTCGTGGTACCAAAATGCTTCCGAGAGCGACAAGAAGCCCCTGGCCCAGACCACCACCCTGAAGACGGGGTCCAAGGCCGAGCCCGCCTACGACTCCTGGGATGTTATCATGGGCTTCCGCCCGCCTTCACCCACCCAGGAACCCCGCAACCCCGCCCCCACGCTCTCCTGGGCCACAGCGGGCGTCACCGCCGGCGGCTGCGACCCGGTCCAGACCCGGCACCAGAAGCCGCCCTCTCCTCCACGGCTCCAGAGCCTCATCGAGAGTGACGACCTGGGCGGCGACCCCGACCTTCTGGAGACGTCAGATTTCTCCCAGACCTCCACCTCGTCGTCACTTGAAAGAAACTCTAACTGTCGGACATACCGGAGGCCCAGCAAACAGGGCTCTGGCAAAGCCTCGGACTCCAGCGGCTTCGCGAGCGCCGTTTTTGGCACGGATCTTCCCAAATCCACGTCCGACGGCAGTAATAAAACGTCAGGTAGCGGTGGAGGTGGAGGAGGGAGTCGGGGCAGGACGAGGGACTACACAGTGCTGCACCCCTCTTCAATGTCAATGTGCAACGTCACCATCCAGGACCGAGGGGTGGAGGAGTTTAGTAATGATGCAGCGCCCTCTAGTGGTAGCAGTAGTGCCGGTTCTGGCAGCACGACACAGCTAGGGGAGGCAGGGTGGCAGCGCAAGAAGACGGAACAGCAAAATACAAGGTAGGATGACACAAAGTGAACATTTCAGTGATAGATTTGATTGGAGGGCGGCAAAAGTGAATGTAGAATATGTCTACTTATTATATAAAGACTAATGAAAGGGAAACCAGAGCAGCTTCAGTGGAACTAATTCTGCAAATCTCTGGAGGGATAGAAAGATATTTCCTCATTTGGTGTTTCCATGAAGGTTGGTGAAGAGTCCTTCAATAGATGCCCGGTCGGGATCTTGTTAAACATGAACTTCAACACCAAAAGTGTTATTGTTTTGATGTTAAGGGGTTGAGGGTTCTGGGTTTTCCTTTAATTTGTCACTTGTGTGTAGATCATCCCTCAGACTGAGGTTCAGAGTTCATTCTTGACTTTGGAAAAACAGAAACTTAAAAATATTGCATCTATTTAGAAAAACAAATCGAGCACATAATCGTCATTTGCGTAGCAGTTCCTGTCACTGAACTATGTTTTTCAAACGTGGTTTTTCAAGTCAATCTTTAAATTCATTTTTTATTGCGTAAGTGTCGGGATGTAAGGATGGCGTGAACGTGTAAAGCCACTGACGGGACAGTTTGAACACTGGGCGCCATGTGCTGCAGAACAAATCTCCTAAATTGCAGCCTTTGCTCAGATGTTTCCAGAATTATTAATGACCTTTGAAGCTCAGATTTAACTGCTTAGCGGCGAATACGCTCACGAATAGCAGCGTTAGCAGCGAAGACGACGGTAGTGAAACTCCGTCGGCGCTTGTTGTTAAATATTTTCCTTTAAAACAACGTAGCGGCCCATTTTGCAGCGTGATTGTTTCAGGCAGCAGCGCCGTTACTCTGTTATGACGCTAGCGACAACCCTGACTGTAGCAGCAAGAGAGCAGGCAGAGAGCATTGTGGGAGTTTAACTAGCAAAGTGGCACCATGAGAAAGTCTCCTGTGGTGCTTGATGCCGACAGGACGGAGCTCTGGGTTTGTGTGCTTTAACGTGGTGACTGTCTGAGCCGGTGAGCGAGTTCAGAGCAGCGACATCACGGGTTCATTTTGTGTTATTGATTATTGAATTACTAAATGATAAGGAACTAAGAAAACAGGTCAAAACATTACATCCCTACTGAGTGCACTTACTGAATATACCAGGCAGGGAAACTGTCCTAAAGGATTAACCAGCAATAAATGACATTACACGTTGTCGCCTACTTTCTGCGTTACTTTACTATTTTAGAGACTTTCTGGAAATGCTCCTGTTTTAGTTTGAGAACTTTGGGGTTGTGTTTTAGTTTGGATGGCCAGAGATGAAGACATTCTGACTGTCTGATTGGCTTTAAATGTCACGACGTGTTGTTCTCTGATTCATCACACTCCTGTCTTGTGACCGGTTTTTCAAGGAAAACAAAGTCATCAGCCGTGACTACCAGCGTTTAATTCATCATGGATAATGAATTACAGCAGTTTGGGTACTTATTGTCTGTGCTGGCAGCTGTTGCACGGTTTAGTTTTCAGTGTTGATGTTTTTTTTTCTCTGTAGTATGTTCGTCTACCAACCCCCTGCTTCAGGTTCGTCCAGGCGTGTTGGGATGCACGGAGATTATTTCAGAAATGCTGGTCTGGATTTGAGATCATTTTGGCTTTAAAATGAAAACACATCAGTGTGGATGTAGCCCCAGTTTGCAGGACTCACACATTGATCTCGACTCCACAAATATCTGTTTTTGTTCAGCCGGGTTCACGTACGGTTTCTCGCGCTTCTGTCGGAGGTTCAGAGTTCAAAAGATGCTGAACGTGCCAGCCTGAATCAGTGTGAAGTTTTGCCTCCGACGATCCACAAAAACACCCAGAATATTTATAATTTACACAGAATGGTGCAACCGCTGAAAAAACAAGTCTTGGGTTGGAATATTTCACTCAGTGCAAACATACAACCCACTTCAATAAAGAGATAAACTGATAAGGGATGTACACAAGAGTTTACCAAAGTAATAGCTACTTACGTTAGACGCCACCGACATTTCATTCGTGTCTGGCTGAGGGGCTCTGAATGGTAGCACATGGTTATTTCAGGAATGCAAAATACATTCAGCCAAGCCTGCTGTCGGATTTTTAGAACTCGCCTCCAGCTACTTTCTGAAAGATCTGACTGAGAAATTTTATCAAAAGGGAAAAATCCATAAAGCAAATGGCTGAAAATGTAAGTAAATATGTAAACTATGTGTTTGCTCACACAGGGCCACGAGGACGCGTTATTACTCTGTGAATAACCCGTTCGCGTAGTCGTTCATTTACATCTTTTACATATTTTCATCCCTCACCGTGGCGTTGGAGCAGCGTTTCATTTTCCCCTCTTTGCAGCGTTACGGCCTCCATTCACCCTCGCTCCGCTTTAATCTATCAGGCCATTCTGCCAAGGACGGCCAACGCACAGTCATTTTATTTGGGTTGAAACGACCAAGGTCACAGATCAAAGTGAAGCCATTTCTCAGTGTCACACGAATTTTCCTCTTGAGTTTTTGAAATGCTGCGAGAAAGAATTTTTTTTTTAATTAAGTCTGCTTTCATTACCTGGCTCGAAAATAATAGATTAGTTTCTTCACCAAGGAGAAGTCCTGTGAAAGTATTAATTAGAATTTGGCAGCTTGCTGTTTCATGTCAGCTAATCTGAAACACATTACACCGAAGCCCGAAGTTGGAAATAAACTGGACAGGTGTACACTTGGAAGGCACCTGAGCCTGCATGTTGTTTTTTAAATTGATTTGTGTGAAGGTTTTGTGGCTGCAGAATGCTAACCGTGTTCCTCTCCCAGGTTCCGGCCGACCCAGACCAAGTCAAAGAAGGACAGTAAGCTGGACCTGTTCGGCTTTGAGGACGCGGACGCCCACCAGGAGGAGGACGGCGCCGACGGCAGAGACGGCCAGTCCAGTTACAAAATCAAATACTTCGGCTTCGATGACATGAGCGACAGCGACGGCGCCGAAGACGACGACGACGGCTTGAAAGAGAGGAGGAGGGCCAAGAAGGCTGCTGCCGCCGCCGCCGCTGCTGCTGCTGCTGCTGCCGCCGCCGCCGCCGCCAAGGTAGCCCCGGTGGTTACCGTAGAGGAAATGCTGACCGATGAGCCGCCAGATCCGTTCGAGATGCTGGAGATCCGGGAAAGACCGACAGTCAAGGAGAGCAAGAAGAACTCTGAGAGGATGGAGAGCAGGATACGAGCAGGTCAACACACCACACACAGACACAGATGTTTGTTCTGCTTAGTTGAGTTTTATTCAGTCTGGAGGCTGAGGAAGCAAATACTTCTTTATATTTTTAATAACACAGTGTTATGTTAGCAGGAATGAAATGAACCAGGTCATAGCTCTTCTTCAGCCAATCACAAAAACAATCTGGATGTTATCTGCAGATGGACTGAATGTGACTCCACCGCCACCTGCTAGCGCTACCTGCTAGCCGTGTTAGCCTAAATTAATCCATAAACAACAGAAAAGGCTGCTATTTACAGCTTATTAAATCATGTTAACCTAGTTATTCAACAACAGGCCATATTTATGTGATTTCTGAAAGAAGATTAGCTGGTGATCTCAGCACAAGAACCGTTAGCCGAGTTAGCTGCTGCTTTTACAGGATCCGACATGTTGGTGGTTGAGCTGCGATACATGAATTGCAAATTGAACCATTTAGAAGTTTAATTGGAATTAAGAAGCAAAAATAATACAACATTATGATAGATGAACTAACAGGCTGTCATTTAAGTGCTGTGATATGATTTGGATTTGGTCACCTTTTGTGAAAAACGCACCAAAAAAAAAAAACTGATCAATTTAGTTAAATATTTGCTCCCTCAGTGTCCTAATGCGGATCAGTTTTATCTAGTTCTCGACAAAAGATGAAAACCAAAGTGGTTAAAAGGCCGAGTGTTGTTTATTCCTTTAGAAAGCGATGAGAAAACAACACACAGTCACATTATACGAACCGTGTGACCAAACTGAATTAGCTGGCCGGGCTGCATCTGAAACTGGAATCTAAGACTTAAACCAATAAACAGAGGAGACAACGCTCCACAGAATCCTCACACATGAAACACGATTCTGCACGCGAAGTGAAGGAACTAAACAACCAGTAACGTATGAATGAGTGAACCTTTGTGCTCATTCATTTCTTCACTAGTGTGCGTCACTCAAATGTGCCCCACCAGAACCTGACTGCAGTTACATTAGTTCTGCTCAAACAAACGCAGCAGGGACCAGAAACAACATAAAAACCCAAATGAACCGACTCGCTGTTACAACTAAAGCTAAAAAAGTTTTTTAGGATTAGATGAACAGAGTTCGATTAAATCAGTCCATTGTGAGTCTTTCAACTGTTCACACTCGACCCACATCTTCCACTTTGCGTAACGAGGCTACCACGAGAACTATGCTGTATTTCTGGTTCCGCGGATGACCAGGGGTCATCTCCTTTGTATTTGTGTGTACGTATAAACAAAGCCCACACACTGGCTCTAATATACCAGCGCAGACTACGAACCCACTCCAACAACAAACGCTGCTCCAGCTTCTGTTCTTGTGAGCTCATCCTCAGCAGCGGCTCGCTGTGTGAAGTGTCAGAGTGGTGTCAAGCTCGTCTCAACAACAGTTTTGCACTTTATAGAAATAAAAAAATAAAAAACAAAACAGAAGAAAGCGTTCGGTTGCTTCTTTGATCTGATTCTTGAAAGTCGTTGTTAAAACAGATTTATCGGAGCAGGATGTAGCAGCAGAGATCAAAAGTGCAAATAAACTGTTGTAATAAGTGCTGCAGAGCCGTAGCCGCATGCCAGTCATGCCTTGACAAGATAATCTGGCTCCCAGTGATCCCAGTCCAGTGCAGTGGTTCGTCCTGACTGACTGGAACGTCCTGTTGATGCTGACTGTGCGTTTGTGTGTTTTTTTTTTTTTTTTATGTCTGCAGACGTCCTGGACTTCTCGGAGGACGGGCTCAGGGTGGTGGCGAGCGGTCCGAGGAGGACGCCTCAGGGCAAGCCGGCCGAGAAGAACCCGGACACCTTCCGGAGGATCTTCAGTGCACACAAGAAGGTCAGACGCTGCAAAGTCACGCGAGGAACAGTTGTGTTGATTTTTGAACAGTCTCTGAAATGTCAGTTAGCAAAAGCTGGAGGAGAGGAGGCGATTCAGATGACTGGCTACATCTGTTCTGGTTGACGTGGTCGTATTTTACTACATCACCTGAAGGCTGAATATGCTTTTGGGAACCGCCTTGTGAAGCGCCAAGCCAGCCACGTATGCTCCTCAGTGTGGATTATTAAGTAAATCAGTCAAATATGACCTTTATTAAAGCGTGAAACAGTTTTCTCATACGTTTTTAAGCATTTACGTCTTTTGAGCTCACATGCTCTGAACTCAACCTCCAACCGGCCACGGGAATCAGAAGGTACTCAGAAATGCGAAAACATTGCTGCTTTTTCATGGAATTTGTCGACCGTTCGAGAAACGCTGCGTGACATCAACAATGCGCCCCTTTAGAGAGGACGGCGCGGTTGTTTATTTGCGAGTACTTTGGACGTTTCTGCACGCAAAAGCGGAGAAGCTTTTCTTTAGTACTTTAGATTTGTTTCGAGGAAAGCTGCGATCTAAACGGGGCTTCAGTGAATCAAATTAAATCTCTGTGAACTAAAATTCTCAATCAGTTGTTCATGCGGGAAAAAAAAACAACAAACGTGTCGATGAAGTAAATGTTGTGAACTGGGTGCACTCTACTTGCAGCGTTGTTATCCTTAATGCACTCTGAATCAGCATTTAGACCTCGTGTCTGCAGCGTTTCAGGTTATTTGAACCTGGTTATTTTCTACTGAGGTTGTCGTGGCAGCTCAGACAGACCAGCGTGCATCTGGACACTTATCATCTAGTAAACTAGCACAAGAGCTATTGAGGAAAACAACACAAGACAAGCTAACCTGCTGTTTTTAATGATGATCTGCAACGTCTACATGTGACTTTTTGGACAAAATGCAGCAAGACGTCTTTGAGCTGGTTGATGTGGAGCTTTTAAGATGAGAATTTAGTCGGATGAGAGCACATCGACTCATCTTGATTTACACCCGGTCTTCAACGCTGCCGACCATAAAACGTTGATGGACGCGCTGTCGGCTCACAGCCGCGGTTCAACTTAAACATTATTCTCTCGTTTCTTCATAAAGCAAAAAAACTTAAAATAACAGGATTTGACATCTAACTCTTCTTTCAACATATTTCTGCCTTCAAGCGTTCAGCGGAAGTCCTCGGGGTGTTAATTTATGTAGCGTGAAAGTATAAAACTTAATCTTTGCTAACCTACTGAAGTCTCAGAATCGGCTGCGTGTCTCTTTTGTCTTCAAAAGAGATCAAATAATTCTGGGAAACTTCAGCACATCTGGGTCCTTCTGTCTGTTTGAAGTAGTTTAATGAAATGTGCTAACCCCCGACTGTACATTTCAAAAAAGAGATGTACCTGTGGGGACGCGACTGTCCACCTACGCCCGGCATGACTCAGTCCTGAGTGTGTGTGGGCAGAGCGGAGGAGTGTGTTTTATTCATGCACGGACGAGGGGAGGGACCGAGCTGCTTCTGCACATCTCTGAACTGCTTGTCTTTTATTTAACAGCGTGCTAATGGCCTGTCACGCCCCGGTTCACGGAGCAGCCCGGCTGGAGATCAGACTCTATTGATCTCCCAGCAGCCTGGTGCCTTTTTATAGTGGAGACGGATCAATGCCGTCAGTCCACAGCAGCGCTACTGCAACTCCAGAGTAACTCACTGTACGTGAAGTGTCAGCGCCTCATCCTCCCGGTTATCTTTAGCTCCTGCGTGCAACTCGCCGCAATTAAAGCCTCACATCAGGTGAAAAAAAAAAACAGGCGGGAATTGCACCGATAATTTGATTTACTCGTGTTGTGCTGCGGTTGTTAATTAGAGCTTTGCTGCAGTTTGTGTAGTTTTGCAGAGTTTGTCTTAATGAGCCTCGCTTCATTACGGCGGCTTGTTAATTGTGTTCTTCTTAGTTTGCGGGCGTTTCGACTTTGTTGGGGGGGAAAAAAGTGACGCGTGATTATAGTCGTAATTAGAAAGACAAATTCCTGCGTTCAAATTAGTTTTGTAGGAGCGGCTACGGATTAGTTAGAACGCTGTAATTTGGATGCACGAGTCTCTGCCTCCGGTGTTTATATCACAGTTTGCATATTATTGCAATTTTTCATCGCCGGCTTTCTCTCCGTGTGCTGATTTCACACCTTATCTCTGAGAATCTGCTGACGCCGAGGGCCGATTCAACGCTGCTTTTCCATTAACTGACCATTTTAAATGACCACGTTGCACACTCATGAATTATCTCACTATTTTTCTTACCAATTGAGGCGCAACTCAACATTTTCACCGCAAATATGACGTTTAAATCTCTCCTTTTTAGTCAGTTTGTCAGGAACACAGGTTCAGACGACTGTTTTGTTCTTAAGGATCATCTGGAACATCGAGCTGGTTTTTAAATGTCGTCATGATTTCTGATTCCTTACTGTTTAGGTTTGCTGCTGCCTGGGGTCTTATTGGTCTTATTGTGCGTTTTAGTTTGTAACGTCTATACTCTTGCACTCTTTGCCATAAATGCATCTTGTGATGCTGCTGTTTTATCGCATCTCAGTGTTTACTACGCTGGAACGCAGAGACTCGTGCAGTTTAGAAGCTGCAGAGTGTAACCACGGCTGTTTCCTGAAGCTACAAATCATAGATGTTCCCTGAACGCCTCTCGTGTCTCCATAGACGCTACGAGGGATCTGTGCACAGAGAAGCCTCTAGTCTCCGCTCAGTTAGTGCAGCGCAGCAGCTCGGACCTAAAATTAGTTTGGAAAAAGCGTTAAAAGTGTTATAAAGAGTGCTAAATGTCCATGGATGGCGTTTGGATGGAGGTCGAGCACTAATGAAGCTGACTGACAAAAGAACAGTTTACGTAGGAGGGCAGGGTGATGTACTTCAAAACTGCACAACTTTATTGGTGCAAATAAAAAAAAAAGAACAATTTCTTTTCCATTTAGCAAGCAGCTGTTCCTGATGTGCATTAAAGCTACACTGTACTAAAGTCAATAGTGCATCAGGTGTAACTTGCTTTCTGACAGTTTGTTTAATCAAAAGGCATTTCAAATGGAAACGGACCGACACATCCTGAGCGTAACAACGCACAGTAAAGTAGAGCTGCTTTGCAACATAAACGTTGCTGAGTCGGTTTCTTTGGTGTCACCACCTCGTCAGTCGAAGCAGACGCCTCCTCACGTGCTGCTGCGGCTTCGTCGTACTCCAACAAGTGCTTTTGCTTTAAATCGTGAAACAAGTTCGTCGTGTTTCCTAAAACGCAGCTGATACCCGCTGACAAAGAACGAAGGATTCCAACTTTCCTGATTGAGAACAATTCCTGAAGATTTTTCTCCAGTTTCACTTGTAGAAGTTTGTTTGTTCTTGTTTTTTTTTTTTTTTTTTTTTGTGGTTTTGTCTGCAGCTTATTCTGCTCCGTTTATGACATCCCTGTAGCCTACAGCGCCACCTTCTGACGACACTACGCACCCCAGAGCGGTTGAAACACAGTTTCTTTATGTTTATTTTATAAGTTTGCTTTAAATTCGCCTGACAGCCATATGGACGTGTCGTTTGATCAGACCTCCTCCTCCTAATGAGGCCAGTGTTTATACTTGAGCAGCATCCCCCACATAATCAACATCAGACTGAAACAATCAGGACAGTTCCTCGTGTCCCGTCACCTCCAGTTCGCCGCTCCTCTTGTCTTGTGCTGACTTTAATCAGCAGAAAGTCCACTTTATGTAACGCGAGTGTGGAGCCGCCCGCCCTGTAAGAGCACTGTTTGATGTGCTCCGGTCCTGTGGCCGTCTGAAGCCTTTGCAGAGGCAGAGATAACTTTGTTGTTTGGAGTTCTCTCTGAGCACCTGCAGAGAACTTTTGAAGTGCCAAAGTATAAAGTTAATTTCCTCTGCATCTGCCCGCTGCAGACGAGCAGTATTAGCAGCCACAGCGCCCATAGGAGCATAATAACGTACTTAATGTACTCTCATTCGCTCTTGTTATCCAGTTTCATGCCCTGACTCTTAAAATAACTTCCCTCCCTCTCAGTTGAATAATGCGCTCTGTCCTCTCCGTCTCCATCGCTTTCTCTTGACCACGCCGTCTTGCTTCCTGCCTCCCAGTGCGGCGCTCTCCGCCGCCACGTCCTCCTCCCCGCCGCTGTTTTATTATACCGTCTTTGCCCAACACGGCGGATTCCGGCTCTCGCTCCGTCTTCCATTAACATAATTGAGAACAAGAGCCGAGTTGAGCTCATTATAAAAACAATAGCCCCTGGAAGTGACCGGCCTACGGAGGAGTCGTCAAAAACTCAGCCTCAATTACAATAAAACTGTGCATCAGTGGCGTCAGCGGAGCCGAAGTGTTGTTAGGTTATTCAGCTGAGGACGCTGGGAGATATTAGATGTTACCGTAATGACAACACGTAGACAGGCTCATCCATATTTAGGAGATGATGTCGGGTTTATTTGAGGAATATTTTAATGGGATGAGTGCGGTTATTACATCCATAACAATGACCCTCTCCAGCGCTCTAATGTGCTCCTTTTGCGCTGTCGTACCATAAAGACTTTAAACCCGTTCGTCATCCCATCGTCATGTTGACGTCGCCGACTCAGGCTGGCTGTCATCTGAGACGGTGGTTAGCGGCTTCGCTTCCTGTTTTTAAACATATATCATTCACAAAATTGGCGATATTAACAAAAGAAGCAAGAAAAATGGAAAAACAAGTTGCCTAAATATTCCAAAATCTGATGAGCAACGAAAAGAATTAAGAAAACAGTACGACTCTCCTCCAGTTTCTGGTATCTGAAGATCTTTGATACTTAATGTTGAGATCAGATCGGACTTTATTAATCCTGAAAAGAATAGATAATAATATTAATAATAAAAAACAAAGTCACTTTACATTAAGGGATGCAGTGCCTAGAGGAAAAGTAATCAGATATAAGTGGAAAAACGTTAGTGAAAATACGATAAATAAGCTAAAAGAAGTGTATCGAATGAAAAGGTAAGATAACATACGCCGTTATTAATCCCTCAGTGGGAAAATTTGCGAGTTTACAGCAGCAGAGATTGTGCAAACGTTTAAGAAATATACTAATAAAATAAAAATAAACCAAGATATAAGTGAGAAGTACTGCTGGCTGTGGTGATGTGATCAGCCTGAACCCTGCTGGGATTTAAAGGCACAAAGATTATTATAATCACTTAATTATCACCCATCACGCAATTATGTAAAGGTTCAAGGTTATTGTCCTGTTGTTCTCATGTCAACAGAATAAAGACGAGGCAGAAACTGCAAAACAATAAATAGACTTGGAAATCCACACCGAATGCAAATGTACAAGTGTGTGATGGTGAGTGCTGACCTCCATTAGGCGTATCGATGGCACTCGGGATGGAACGGACGTGGAGGCTTTTAGTCCTGCCAACAGATTCTCTGCCGGAGGGTAAAATCCTAAACTATCCTGAACTCTTAACGGTTACGTTCATCAGTGGTTAATCCATCTCAAATCAAATCAATCTGACGTAAAAGAATGTGTGTTTCCGTAAAGATGACAAACGTCTTGTTTTAAACGCCAGAATAATGAGAGAGAAGGTTTTATTGCTTTCTTCAAAGTCAGAAGTTTACATCCACTGAGAATACGACGCCTTCAAACTTGGCTGGTTTCTTCAGATGTTCCATGTTGTCACCAAAGGAAGCAGCGTGTTCGAGGTGTGCCTTAGAATACATCCACAGGTGTGCCTCCAATTAACTCACATGCTGTCAATTAACCAATTAAAAGCTTCCAAGGCCATGACATCATCATCTGGGCTTTCCCAAATAATCTGAAGGCATCTTAGTGGATGCAAACTTAAAGAAAGTCACAAAAAATTCTCTCTCTCGTTATTCTGGCGTTTAGCAAATAGAAATAATGATCCTGATTGAGCTGAAACAGGAAAAGTTTAGTCTGAATTAAAGTCAAACGGTGAGAAAATAAAGGTTTTATGTCTTTTTATAAAGTAAATGTAAACTGGTTTCAACTGTATATTTCCTTATTTATAGATAGATAGACAGATAGATAGATAGATAGATACATCGATAGATAGATAGATGCAGTCGTCCTCAGATGTATTCATCCCCTTAAATTAAAGAAAAGGCAAAATTCCCTGTAGTCACTCAAAAACCTATAAACTGAAAAAAATAATAATAAATAAAAATTTGCTAAATTAAATTTAATGAAATAAGACATTGCTTGTGGTTGAAAAGAATAATTTTAAAAAAACCAACAAAAAAAAAACCACTTTGCTGCCATGGGTCCCATCATGCTGGTTTGCTTGTTTTTTTGTTTTAAAAAAAAAGTTATTTATTTATTTTATTTTTAAAAAAATATTTCTGCTGAACCACAATTCAAAAACAACGTTGTGATTTTCATTACATTTTTATTTATTGTTACTTTTGTCAGTTTCACCTTATTTCCGTGACCTTTTTTTTTTTCCTTCTTTAATGGGAGGCTATGAATTCATCTGATAGATAGTAGACAGATAGCTTTATTGTCATTCAATCAGTACATAAAAAGAAATTCAAATGCACTTTGAATGAAATGACGAGCACAGGTCACAGACTAAAAAATAAAATAAAAAACAGAAAAACCTGGTCGTAGTAAAAGGCAACAACGGGCACCTGAATAAATAGAATTAGAAACCGTTTTAGATTGTACGAAGGGCCTAAAAAATACAAATAAATACTAAAATAGAAGCAGAAATAAAACATACCACAGACAGATTATTGCACCGTATGAACGGGTTGCTAAGCGTCCTGAGAAGTTAAACGTCTGATGGCGGAGGGGTACCGACTGTTGTGCTTCTGCACTTCAGGCTGCAGCCCCTCTTGTCTGAAGGCAGCAGAGACGAGGCTTTGTACCGGGGGTGTGTATTATGTGCTGCGTTATTCCATCTCCTGATCACGACCGGCAGTGACTTATCCAGCGGCGGTGCATCGACGTCGCCGTCAGTCGTCTCCACTCAGCGGTTTATCAGAACAGAACTTGGGAACAATTGGATCGATGAGCATTAAGTGCTGCGAGCTGTGAGCCGTCCTGCGGAATAATACACAAAACTAATTCACGAGGCGCTTCGGCGTTTCTCAGAAATGGCTTTGGCAGCCAAGTAAGTTTGCTGTTAATGAACTGTGGGTTTTTTTGGGGGGTGGAGGGGGGTTACGCTCGCCCACCTTCCTCCCTCGTTCTCATCTCTCCCATGCTGCTCGGCGGCGGGTGGGCGGGGCGGGCGGGGCGGGGTGTCCGTCTGTGTCATTCAGATTACTGTAGGAGGCTTTAATTCGGTGTGTTGATGTTCCAGCGCTGCAAAGCTCATCCCCAAACTCCCCTTTTGTCTCTGCTTATTAACCCTGCGGCGCGAAATCCCCCCACTGCCCCCGCCGCCTCCACAAACGCACCTCCGATCCACAGCCAAGTCCGTCCACCTCCCTCCCTCGCTCCCTCTTTTGTTTTTCCTCACCAATGCCCCGGCAACCACCAACCACAGGTTTGGCAAAAACGTACAAAGAGGACGAGGAGCCGAGCCAAGGACGAGGGCGGATGGCGTGTTTGTTTTAAGTGTGCGCGCGTCCCGCTGTTTGATCAGCGCTGGCCGACTCTCGCCAGTTTAATGTGCATCCAGTTTATCCTCTTTTCTCCTTCAGCCTTCAGCTCCCCTCCCCTGTATTTGCTTTCCCCCGGTTTTGTTCATCTTCTCATTCTTGTCAGGCTCTTTATTCGCTATTTGCAAACTTTTACAGAAATCTTTTCAGATGAGAAACACTTTTTGTGTGTGTGTGTCCACAGGAGTCCTGGGTGAAAGCGTAGATACAAAACAGACCTCCTGAAATGTTTTGAAAAATTGGACACCCATAGCAACGTGCTCTGAGGATTTTTTTATTTATTTCTTCCTAATCTGACAACATGCACGATGCCTTTTTACTTCAGGAGAGTGATGCTGCAGAAACAAGCTTCTGAGTGCAGCACTGTGGTCCACGTTACATACAGAGCTTAACGAACGTGTCAGACCACCACCCAAAGTCAGGTTTATGGCCTGAATGAACAGCATTTCTTATGTTTCTGTAACAGCTAATACACTAGTATGGAGAAAACTATATTTTTGATGCTAAAATATAATTATTATTGTTATGCATGAATTTTCAAATGCAGTTTTACCAAAAAAAGCCCGAAAAAATAGTGAAGCACATGATTATTTCATGATTTAGTCAGATTCTAGTCATTATTTACTTGCATTCCTGAACAGAAAAATTAGTTTTAGTGGCTGATTGTGATGCCTGATTGAGAGAAGCCCAGTAAATCGGCTCAGATTTGGGTTATTGTGTGTTAAAAAAAAAGATGAGGACTATTTAGTTATTTCAGCTTGTTCTTTGCCAAATAAATAACCATAATGTTATTTTGGTTTAAAACAGGTTTGTGAAAGATTTCTATAATGTGTGTTTTCATGACAGGTGGTCTAGTACATTTCCTAAGCAGTGTTAAAAGCAGCTGAACTGAATTTCCAGAACTTTTCTTCCTCTAAAAGCAGCGAGGATGATCTACTCAGATGTATTTACATGCACGCGCTACGTTGTGCACATTCTGTACATTTTACAAGAATGAGAGATTTGTTTTTTTCTTGCTTTCTTTTTAACTTCTGCAGCTACTTGCAAAGCCGACTTTTCGAGGGCTGCAAAGTGAAACACCACCAACTTAATCCGGCACCTCCAGAGGCATCGTGCCAAAAACAAACAAAAAACAAGACGAGTTCAACCAAACAAAAAAAAAAGAAAAAGAAAAAAAGGGGGGGACGAGTTGAAGAAGCGCTGCGGAGATGCCAAGCGATGGTGTGAAAGCAGAAACACTCTTGAATCCGTCGTTATGGATCAGCAGCGTCTTGTTAGAAATGTTTGACTCTCTCTCTCTGCACTCGACGCACAGAAAAAGTACAAATGTGATGAGCTCACAGTAGTTGGTGTAATTTTGAAGCACACCGGTTACAGACAAGCTGTGTGCCTCGCTGTTAAAAACAAAATAAACGTCAACAGATCGCTGGTTTTTCCAGCTTCCTCTTGCACGATTTGATGAGAACTAACAGTCCAGCAAATTCATGAATGTGTGGTCGTTTGTTAAATATTGTTTTGCAAAGTTGAACACAGATGTTGCCTTAAAAAACATGATCAGAATAAAGAATAAAGGTCAATAATTTAGCTCTCCAGTGGGATCAGCCGGAGAAGCTGGATCGGTGCGTCCCTGTTTCAACAACCGTGGTTAATTTAACATTTTATTTCCTAAACTTTTCAGTGTTTTTAGTCATTTCTTACATCAGCAGCAATTAGTTTTACAATTTACAAAACAGGCAAGACACAAAAAAATGCAAAATTTATAAATGCAAGACCTCAATGCCACTGTTTTTTTTTTTTTTTTAATTTAAAAAGGAAGATTTAAATGTAGCCTTGGGGGGAGAGAGACGGTGTTTTGAATTCTTAAGAGAAGGTTTTTGAGAAGTTATTTTATTTTAAATTATAATTCTGGTCCTGCTAAAATCTCTGCAAGTTTGGTCCACAGCAGCTTCAGAAGTCTTCCGTCAAGTACATACGTTTAAGCCCTTTTGTCAGCTCAAAGGAGAAGGCAGCAGTACAAAGAGAACATTTGCATGCACAGATTTTATATGTGTGTGCTTTGTTTTTACAGTCTCCCACCAAAGCGGTGTACAACGCCCGACACTGGACGGTGGGCAGCGAAGAGGAGCCTCCTCCGTCCTTCTTCTCAAAGTCCCAGGTGGCTCCAGTAAGTCCACAGAAACACGCTCGCTTCCCGGTCCCGGTCCCGGTCCGGCTTCGGTTTAACATCCTCCTCCCTCCGTCTTTCAGGCCACGGTCTCAGCCGGAGGATCCGGCAAAGAGGCGTCCGACCCTCAGAAGGACGACGGCGTCTTCAAAGCTCCTCCTCCTCCGCCGAAGGTCACCAAGTGCGTCACCTTCCCCACGGACCCCTACCAGGACACGGTCACCACGCTCAAGTGTCGCAAAGAGCACAAGGAGGTAAACGAGACCGGATCCTTCATCTGCTGCCACCTCATGACCGGCTTTGTGTTATCGCCGACAGCTTCTGCTTTATTTTTCAAGTCACTTTTATTTACTGTCATTTCACAACCTTCTGTTTGTTTGCTGTCCATATGTGCAGGAGCTGGCAGGTCAAAGTCTTGTGTTTAAGTGCAGTGACCGAATACGGGTTAATCTGTATTGTGTGTTTATTCTGTGTGCGTCATGCTGAGTTATTGGTTGGTGACTCCTTTTCTTCTGCTATTTTACTAAAACAACTATTGACGGATAAACAGATCAGCTTTAAAAATGTCTCCACTTTCCCAAATTGGCCCAACTTTCTGTAAATGTTCTCACTTTCTGAAAACATCATCTTTTTCCTTACTTTCTAATTCCCTAAAACGTCCTCCCTTTCTGTAAACTTCCCCAGAGTGTCCTTGCATTCCCTAAATGTGTTAATTTCCCCCCAAAACATCCCCTCGCTCTCCCCGAAATGTCTCCACTTTCTGTCCCTTTTTTAATCTAGCTTCGTCCGACCTGTTCTGACTCATTATCAGTGCATCAGTCATCCGCGAAGCACTTTGAACTTCGCTGAAGGTGCCACACAAATAGCGTTTGATTGATTTTTAGCTTAATCTTTTATGCAAAGTTTCTGTGGAATCTGAAATGATGTAGCAGCAAAAAATGGATTAATTAAAACCGCCAAGGCTCTGAGCGCACGCTGCCGGTTCAGCACAGTTTACTGTCGGGCAGAAAGGGTTTTTTAGAAAAGACGGATTCAGGCGCTCATTCTCTCCCGGCCTCGTGTTTTCCAGCTGTACACGGTGGTCCAGCACGTGAAGCACTTCAACGACGTGGTGGAGTTCGGAGAGAACCAGGAGTTCACTGATGACTTTGAGTATCTGGCGACTGGTCTGAAGAGCGGACAGCCTCTCAACACACGATGCCTTAGGTGAGACCCTACGCTGCTACGCTCAGCCCGCTTCTTTGTCAAGTAAATGGAATTATTGTGCTGATGCTGCTGCTGCTGCTGCGTGTCGTCTCTGCAGTGTGATCAGCCTGGCGACGCGCTGTGCCATGCCCAGCTTCAGGATGCACCTCAGGGCCCGAGGGAAGGTGGCGCAGGTCTTCAAAACGCTCAACGACGCCCCGCAACACCCGGTGAGAATCAAAAACAAGAGACCTGAGCAGTTACAGCAGTGTGGTGTTTGACTAATATGTTGTTTTTACAGGGAGAAACTCACGTCGCCCCGCTTACTGTTTTAACCAACTGAACTGCAAAATCTTTTTTTTTAAATGACACCGTTTATGAGCCAGAAACCATGAAAACAATTTTCAACTTTCGGTCCTTGGACTGAAAATCCTTTTAACTGCTGGTGGGTGAGTTGTGCTTTTGTTTAGAAGATGAACCAAATCTGAGCTTTAAATCATAACGTTTCATCCAAATCACTCTATTCTATGTGTCTCTTTCTAAATGTTATACCAAAAAACTATAAACAGATTCTGTAATAAACAAACAAAAAATCTGAGCTCCTCGGGGCAACCAAAAGGCAACGACGTAGTCAGAGCATGTGAGGAAGCAAATTACAGCGAAAGAAAAAACTGGATCAATAAATAAAGGCAGCATGGATCAGAAACAGAGAACAGAGGAGCCAGATGGTGGAGATACATCCAACATGGTGGAACATCTTTCTACATGATGGTGGAACATCTTTCTACA